GGCGCCTTAGCCGGTTGAGCTATAGGCGCCGAGCCAATTTCGAGGGTTTTTTATAAAAATTCATAACAGTGTCTTTATTTTTCACATTTTTCTGTAGATTCTTGCAAATTATATAACTGACTACTGCTCAAAAAGTACTAGTATAGAGGACTTTCTGGAAGTGGGACCCAAGAATGTGTGTGTGCACGTGTCTGTATGAAAATCCACCCCCGTCCCCAGCCTCACTTCCTGAGCAGCAGGGCTTGAGTGCTGGGCTGTGTGTGTTGCTGGCACTGACTCCTCAGGTACCTGCCTTGGGGGAAGTGGAGGAAAGGCTCCTGTTTGTCTCTGATTTTTGTGACTGGGGTCCTGTTTGGAGGGAGGGACCAGGAAAGCCACTAACTGTTGCTTCACCCTCACATTTGTGAAAACCATCCTATTCCTGTGCTGACCTTCGGCTACTGTCAGCGTAGGAGCCCAGTCAGCCCTGGTAAGGTGGCCGCTGCTGTGACATTTCCTGTGAGCAGGAGCCGAATATGTCAAGGGCGGGTTGGACGGTGACTGCAGAGCGCTGCCCTCTCCCCTAGTAAAAGTCAGCCCTGGGTATAGCAGGAGCTCCCTGAAAATATTCCTGGACTTCTCTGAAGTTCTTAACTAACTTACTGAATCAGAATATGACAAGTATCTATTTGATATTTTTGAATAATTTTTGTGTGTATCTACATGGAATAGACAAATAAAGTAGATTATCAAGATTATCAAGACCAACATTTTATAGAGCTGTGTTTTATGGACAACTTTAATAGCACCCTCTCCCTTTTTGCTTTTTAGAAGTGAAATCCTAATGGGGATCTGTGTTAAAGGAGAAAATGGACATTTTGGTTGCTTTCAGGATTGGTTATTTTTATTTTTTCCCAGTAAACAGTGGTGCAGTAAACTCACTTGGTATGGGGGCCTTATTGCTTTAGTCTGGATCCCTCCATCTGGGTTGCCTGTCAGCAGTCGTGCATTTTCAAGACTGTCATAGAGATTTCCAGATTATGTTATGATACCCAAAATGTGGTCTAAATTCCAGTTATGGTTTTCTTCTCATTATTACATATAAGCCACAGGATCAGCACAAAATGTGTAAAAGCTTTTGTTGTGGAAAGTTATCACTGTGTCCTTAAGTATTAAAAGCTGGACATTGGCATTGACTATACCAAAATTTATTTATTTGGGGAATGACTTTTCCTTTCTAGGTTGCTGTTCAAAAAAGCAGGCTGTCTGAAAGTCAGGAAAAAGCAGTGAACCTGAAGAAAGACTTGGCGGAGATGCAGGAGTGGATGGCGCAGGCTGAGGAGGAGTACCTGGAGCGAGACTTTGAGTACAAGTCCCCAGAAGAGCTTGAGAGTGCTGTGGAGGAAATGAAGGTGAGGCTGGGGCAGCCAGGGCGCCAGGCTTCCGGCCTTCCCTCCTCCCTTTCAAACCTACCCATCAATCATTGGATAGTTGTAAAGCGCCACTGCGTACATAGCATCTTTCACGCTCAGATTTCAAATTTTAAAAAGGAGGGGATGACTGCTGTTATGATTTTACTGGGGAAAGAAAATTAAGAGTCCATTTGTTCAGCCTGGCCCATGACTTGAGTCCAGGAAGACCCCGGAGACAATCTCTTAGGGTAGAACTTTGGGAAGCCACAGACAATAACTTGAAAACTTCTGGTAGTAGGCATAAGGAAGGATTAATTATATTTTTTTTAGTGGGGGTAAGTATGTATAAGATAAAATTTGTCATTTTAACAACTTTTTAAGTGCACAATTCAGTGACATTATGTTCTGAATGTTTTGCAACCATCACCACTATCTATTGCCACAATTTCTCAGGAAGAATTATTTTTTTTCTAAAGGAATGAGAAAGATTTCCTGAATTGGTTGGGGTTTATCCGTATTTTACCAGGTAGTGATCCCCCAGTAATCTGTGAGTGCACATGGATCCCAAACTTTATTAGAGCAGGGAGGTGAGAGTAACAGTAGGAGTGTATCAAGGAATTTCACAGCCTTGGATTCACTGGATCTATTTCCTAGAAGCTTGTATTGTGCTGTCAGTAATCCTGAGCACTCTTTCTTTTTTGGTATAATAAAAGAACTGGGCATCATTCCCAAATTTCTGTTACTGCTTCACTGTCCTTGAATGTTCAAACCAAAGGAGGTCATGTCTTAAAGGCTATTTTTTTTTTCCTATAAGTTTAAACAAACACAGTGAATGTTTTACCCCAAAGTTAACTTCCCTGGAAGTGTAACTATAGCAAAAATCTCTGTGCAGTTATTTTAAAAGGGATGATATGACATTCATGCATTATTATAGTGTGTAAGTCAAAGTAAACTGGACAAGAGACCTTCATTGATGTTGTTATTTTCACTGAAACATCTTATTTAGTGTAACTCTTTTTGATATTTTTTCTCTTTTTTTATTTTTTTGACAAAGTCTCAGCCTGTTCCCCTGTTAGAGTGCTAAGGCATCATAGCTTACAGCAACCTCAAACTCTTGAACTTGAGTAATCTTCTTGCCTTAGTCTCCCGAGTAGCTCGGACTATAGGCAACTGCCACAATGCCCAACTTTTTTTTTTTTTTGGCAGTTTTTGTCCAGGGCCGGGTTTGAACCTGCCACCTCTGGTATATAGGGCAGGCGCCCTACTCTTTTGAGCCACATGCCCAGCTATTTTTAGAGATGAGGTCTCACTCTGACTCACGCTGGTCTTGAACCCATGAGCTCAGGTGGTCCATCCACCTCGGTCTCCCAGAGTGCTAGGATTATAGGGGTGAACCACTGCTTCTGACCTGATTTTTAGATATTCAGTATATAAGGTACTTTAAAGGTGGCCCACCATGTTAACAATTATTTTAATTTCATTTATTCTTTCCTTTTACACTTACTAACATTGTAGTTTGGGGTTTTCTACAGTTACTATAGATGAGAGTTTAGAAAAATGAGATTAAAATCCTTGATTGGTCACCATTTTGTTTATTTTCATTCTCTCAAACAGCCTAGAAACTTAAAAACGCTATACTTAATTACATTCCCCCAACATGGGGAAGTTCAAAACCATTAAGCAGGAGAGACAGCTGAAAGGGAAAGTGAAAAATCTGTTTTAAGTTGATGTCCTGCATGATTGTTGATGCTGTGGAGTCAGGGAAATAGCCATTTCTGGGTCAGAGAGTCCCGGTTTAACTTTAGCATCTTGGAATAGCCTGTGTTCTAGGAGAAAAAACATAACGTTACAATCATTTGGAGAACTTTGTCAAGGATACCTTTATCATGGCACACCTCTATTTCTGTGAAAATTCTTGAATTTCAGTCTCATATGCTTAGACCTCCAGAGATCAATTATAATTGATTCACTTAGATTCTTATCTTGAACCCAGAATTTGAAATAATTTCATATCAGGAAACATAGCTTAGGATAACCCAGATGTTAACTCTGCTGTTATGAAGTGAAAATGTTTGTGGGCGCTGTGTACATTGGGCTAGTGCACGAGTTTTCAGTGTTCACAATCTCATTTCAAAAGCACTCACTGCAGTGATTACCTAAATAACATCCCACCCTGGCAGTTGTAATCATCAGACGTTTTAACTTTGGTTTAGTCATTTACAAAAGAAAGACTGAAATTGGTTACTGAGAAAGGGAGACGATTTTCAAGTGTGTCCTTTCTTGGAACAGAGGGCAAAGGAGGATGTGCTGCAGAAGGAGGTGAGGGTGAAGATTCTCAAGGACAACATCAAGTTATTAGCTACCAAAGTGCCCTCTGGTGGCCAGGAATTGACGTCTGAGCTGAATGTTGTGCTGGAGAATTACCAACTTCTTTGTAATAGAATTCGTGGGAAGTGCCACACGCTAGAGGTATGTTGTTTTTGTCAGTTCTGCGATCCAAACTCTGCAATGTACTGACCATTTCTAATCTGACCTTTGGAAAAAACTTTATTTTCTCTCAAATACTGATTGTAAGGAAAAAGTCGTTCTTGGAGGGGGTAAGAAATGAGATGTTAAAAAATAGGAGATGAAGATCTGTTCATCTGATGAACAGCCCATGAAATTTCTTGGCAAAAATCTTTTCATCTTCTCGGACCTTACTTTTGTTATGGATGTCATCAAGCTTTTTATGTTACAGATGATCTGTAGGGTTTGGTCCAGTCCCCAAATTTCTGAAGATGTTGTAAGATCTGCTTTGTTTTGCCTGCTTGAGTACACAGACATGAATTAAAGTTCTTTTATTTTGAGAGGTGTCTAAAGTTAGAGAGTTATCTGAAAGGAGAGTGGAACTTAAATTTGCTGTGCCTTAGATAAAGTACCTTTTTTCCCCTCTGGATGTTAGATTTAAGATGTAGATGATTCTGTGTGTGAGGTTTTTTTTCCTGCTGTTGTTAGATAAAACTAAGTTTTGCTTGTTTTACATTAGGATAAATTTTGTCATATCTTGTTGGAATATCTAAGAAGTGTTTCAATTTGATTTAAATTCAACTCCACCTAAAACAAATTTTGGTAATGAAGTACATCCTGAAATGGTATAAAATGGTAACTGCCATATGTAACCTAAATGTGCTCATTACTTGAATCAATGTGCTAAGATAAATATCTATAATTGAGAATAGTTAGTAAGAAAGCTACTTGATTGGGAATTAATCTTAGTAAGAAAGCTACTTGATTGGGAATTAATCTGTTTCTTGGGAGTGATTTTCTACGAGTTGTCTTTTCTTTCCCATAAGAAAAGAGGCTGTGCTGGCATCTAAGCAGATTCTTGGTCTGCTTTTTTGCTCGTAGGGGACTGGAAACCTCTTTCTCCTTCTGCTCTCAGCCAAAGAGAAATTTGTGTCTGAGAGTTGACATCTTGCTTGAGATCTGCTTTTGTATGCTTGGTTAACTGAGAATAGTTTTTGTATTTCTAATGGATTGGAAAACACATGTATACACACACATGCACACACACACGCACAAAGGATCAATGACAGAGACCAAATGTGGCCCCTAAAATCTAAATTATTTCCTGTTTGGCCCCTTTTAGAAACATTCACTGGCCCTTGTTTTGGGAAGCCTACCTCTTATGCAGCTGGACTGGAGTCTGTCTTTACTCAGTCAGTAGATCCCAAAGAGAACAAACCCTAAATTTACCACTAAATTTTCCACTAAATTTTCTTCCTAAATTTACCACTCTCATAGGTTAAATGGGTACCTTACATGGAATAAATGTTTCTATCCTCCTTTACCCCCCAACATGGAAAATTTGGTGGGGAGGAATCAGTGATAGCAACTTACACAGTAGGAAAAGCATAACTCCATGTGGGGTGCACTGTGGTGCGCTCTCTCTCTTTTTTTCCCAAAGACAGGGTCTTATTCTATCCTCTAGGCTGGAGTGCAGTGGCATCATCATAGCTCACTGTAACCTCAAATTCCTGGATTCCCGGAGCCACCAACACTGTCACATCTGGCTAACATTTAAAAAAATATTTATGTAAAGATGGGGTCTCACTCTGTTCCCCAGACTGGTCTTGAATTCCTGGCCTCAAGCAATCCTTCTGCCTCAGCCTCTCAGAGTAGTGTGATTACAGGACTGCTGAGCCTGACATGGCTCTTTTCTTAAGTAGAGATCCCTTCTGCATTTAGAAAAAGATTGACTGTACAGCAAACTCTTTATATCAGTTATCTCTGAGTTGGAATGGGGTGGGGCCCAGGAAATTTCAATTCCTATAAAATTATTCAAAGAATTTATGAGTGATTTTTTTCTTTTATTTATAAAACAAAGTTTCTCTCCCCCCCCCACTGATTTATAGTTTTATTCTTGATATTTTAGTCAGATCTGGAATTTATCTTAATGGAAAGAATGTGATGGCCTCTTTTCCATTTCTTTGTCCCCGTCCCCACCAGCTGGTCTAATGTGATCTATTGGAGAATTCAGGTTTGTTTCATTTGTTTGAAAATCCAACTTTATGGGTTTCTAAATTCCCAGATACGCTTATATCTAAATGAATTTATTACTGATTAAAGAGAACGTGTAGCACTCAAGGTCCGATGGACGAAATGGCTTCTTGTCTAATTTACGTTTTTTTGTGGTTTAGGAGGTCTGGTCTTGTTGGATCGAACTGCTTCACTATCTGGATCTTGAAACCAGCTGGTTAAACACTTTGGAAGAGCGGATGAAGAGCACAGAGGCCCTGCCTGAGAAGACAGATGCTGTCAACGAAGCCCTAGAGGTGGACCCCTGTTCTCGGTGGCATTTTTGTTGTTGTTGTGATGAGGCTGCATGTGTTTTAAAATGAGGAACATAATGTTTTATTGGGCAAACTTGTTTCCTCCCTCGGTGGTTTTCAGTGTCACTTGCTGTTGTCTTCTGTAGCCTGAAGTATTTATATCATCATGTGTACTTAGAGTATTGGTGACCGCGGCATAGCCCCGTGAAGTGGCAGCCTGGACATTTTAGACGCGGCAGAGCACTCTAGTGGTTTTCCAATTTATTTTCCAGTCCCTGCACAAAGCCCTCTGTAATTGGGACACCTGCTCTCCTGTTTCGTCATCAGGTTACTTTTAGTCTCTAAGCACAGGAATGACTTTGTTTGCAGTGGCTTCTAGTCTGTTCCCTTCAGGTATTGAAAGTAAAAAGACAGGCTGAGTGCAAAGTAATTGAGATGTGGGACCCTGTCACGGGAACTTGTCATCACGCTGGCCCTGAAGTTCTCTGAGGCTGAGAAATGCACCTGATTCTTTGATCCTTTGTTGTTTCCCAGTTCCCAACACAGAGTGTGGCACATGGTGACTTCATGCCTGCTTCTTAACTTAATTACAGTGTAAAGAGGAGTAGGTTTGCTTATAAAAAGAAAGAAGGCAGGTGCATATGTTTTCAAAGCTGTTATACCATGATGTGTGACTTGAGTGGACGACTGGAGGTCAGGCACACTCCTGTGAGTGAAATGGGGCGCCTGCATTCTGGGAGATGGAGGCTCTGCTGGAAAAAAGATGTCACTTCTCAAATAAAACAGAGGGAGAGATTGGAAAAAAATGAAAAATAGGAAAAGCTTACTTTAAAAAATATTTTCCTAATATGAAAGTTTATGTACAATACATTCTAGAAATATGGAAAATAGAGAAATGATGAAGGAAACTCTGATAAATGTTTTTAAACATTTTGTGTGTCTCTTCCTAATTATTATTATTTTTTCCATATACACACTTAGAAAGTAGTACATTGCATCAAAGGCTTTGGGGTCATAAAAGCTTTGGAGCCAAGATAGAATCTTCGCTCTTCTTTTGACTGTCTGTGTAGCAAATTATTTAACCTCTCTCAACTTCAGTTTTCCCATCAGTAAAATGGGTATATTATTAATTAGATTTACATATACACAGAGTGTATGGATAAAACAGTGCTTCTATACCATGTCTGTTATAGAAAAATCATCTTATTTTTACCTATTTTAGTAATATAATTAATGACAGTTGATAATTTTGCTTGTATAATACTGTTATCTGCCTTCCAAAATTGCATCATACCATAAGCTTTTCTCTACATAATTAATAATTTTTGAAATATTTGTGTAGAATTATATAATCATGTTCATGCTGATTTCTTCATTTTCTGTATTTATTATTACTATAATGGATTTTTTTTTTTTTGAGACAGAGTCTCACTATATCACCCTGGTAGAGTGCCTTGGTGTCACAGCTTACAGCAACCTCAGACTCTTGGGCTTAAGTGATTCCCTTGCCTCAGCCTCCTAAGAACCTGAGAGTACAGGCGCCCACCACAACGCCTGGCTGTTTTTTTCTTGCTGTTTAGCAGGCCCGGGCTCAGGCCCAGGTTGAACCTGCCAGCTTCGGTGTATGTGGCCAACGCCACCCTATGATGGATATTTTTGTGAATTAGTAATTTAATTAATTTCTGGTCTTATTCCTTAGATAGATTTCTAGAAAATAGAATTGCATGTTTAAAAAATGGACATTTTTAGGATCTTTGATACATTTTGCCTTAGTAAAAGCGTGGGTTTTTCTTCCTGTCCCCGGAACAGTCTCTGGAATCTGTTTTGCGTCACCCAGCCGATAATCGTACCCAGATCCGAGAACTTGGCCAGACTCTGATTGATGGAGGGATTCTCGATGATATAATCAGTGAGAAACTGGAGGCTTTCAACAGCCGATATGAAGATCTGAGTCATCTGGTAAGAACTGTGTGAGTGTTGATTGGGTACTGATGAGATGGAGCTGACTTTAAGCCCTGTATCATATAGAGCCTTAATGCTGGTTAAAGCTGGCTAATATTGGTTAAAGCTGGCTAATGTTGGTTAAAGTTGGTAACCAATACTAACAGGAGCATTGAGATCAATCAGGGAGGAAAGAATCAACCTTGTACTTACACGGCAGGCAGAACTTGGTGTACAAAATTTATCTTTGATTTTATGAACTATTTAATTTCCACTAAGGCTCATACTACAGTCATATATAGAATAATAACTCATATTATTCTAGCAAATGTTAGGGCCATGATGATTTGACATAAGCTGTTAGGAAAGCCATAGTCTCTTAGTTCACGTCCCGGTTGTTTCATAACATACACGCCCATATCACTCACTAGAGACCGGACACTGTTCTTTTATAGAAAGTTTGGGAGGGCATTGGTCGCTTTCCAGCACATATTAAACAATACCTATTGAGGGTTAGATGAACAGCATCAAGCTTTTACCCCAGAGTGTCGCAAATAGTGGTTCAACACGTATGAGTTTGGACAATTAAGTTAATGGACTCATCTTAGAAAAAGTGCCACATACCTCATTGCTGAATATCACTGTGGCTGATATCCGCTTTGGGAAGCTATGCACCGACACCAGCACCTAGTCTAACCTTCAAAGCAGTCTTGGAACTCTTTTTCAGAGCTGTTGTTATATGAGGTCTGAAAATTAAGTTTGTGAGCTCATCCTAGAAAAGGGCTTTGAAGGGTGGACTAAGCACTGGCATTGAGGCCCAGCTTCCCAACGGGAGTACTTTGAAGGTGACCGTAGTGATATTCCGCATTGAGGGATGTAACACTTTTCCTAGGATGAGTTCATGAACTTAATTGTCAGAGCTCACATATATATCTCCAGACCTGGCTTAGACTTTGGAAAAAAAGGTCCAGATGTTTACTAATAGACATTTTTATTATATTTTATGCTCTTATTGATCTTGCTGATTTCTAAGCACTCTAAATTTATAATAAATAACAAATTTTTGTCCTCTGCTTAATGTGTTCTGTAAGAAATCTTTACATTTTTTAATTTTATTGTATATAAAAAGAGGTAAAAGGTAGTCATTTACCTATAAGGTGTATAAGACCCTAGAAGAACATTTTCACTGTTACCATTGGTAGTTATTATTTATTTACAAGGAAAGCTAAAGTCTTGAACTAGTGCTCTGTTAGATTTTTCTTAGTGGCCAGAACATATGTATTCAGCTATTTATGTTTGTGCTGAGCGCCTAATGATTCAATTTCTTTCCTGTGTAGGCAGAGAGCAAGCAGATTTCTTTGGAGAAGCAACTTCAGGTCCTGCGGGAAACGGATCACATGCTTCAAGTCCTTCAGGAGAGCTTGGGGGAGCTGGACAAACAGCTCACCACCTACCTGACAGACAGGATAGACGCTTTCCAAGTTCCCCAGGAAGCTCAGGTACTGCCGTGGATGTGAGGGCTTTTGAATGAAAAAGTGAGCATGTGTACTCATTTTCTCAACTGTAGAGAACTTCTCCTCCACCCAAAACTAAGAGTTTGTAGGAGAGACTGTCCTTACTTAAGCTCTTGGGTCTCAGCATCTCTTGCTCTCTGTGTAAAACCCTGGCAAATGACCAACATTTTTAAATTGTAGTTTTCTTTGGAATTAGTACAATTCATAAACATTAGAAATGACAAATGTAAGGACTTTAGTATACGGTAGCATACGTTAGTCTTAGAACGCAGCAGCCTGTATTATTATTAATTATTATACCAAAATCTTGTTAACACTTGTGTAGGCCAGGTGTGAGCACAGTGGTTCACCCCTGGAATCCTTGCACTCTGGGAAGCCGAGGAGTGGATTGCTCGAGATCAGGTGTTGGAGACCAGCCCGAGCCAGAGCGAGACCCCATCTCTACTGAAAATAGAAAAACTAGCCGGGTGTGGTGGTGGTTGCCTGTAGTCCTAGCTGCTCAGGAGGCTGAGGCAAGAGGATTGTTCAAACCCAAGAGTTTGAGGTTGCTGCGCACTGTGATGCCTCAGCACTGTACCCAGGGAGACAAAGTAAGACTGTCTCAAAAATAAAATAAATGAAACCTGTATAGGTGGTCACCATTCTGACAAATATATTATGTATTACATAACTATATGAAACTTTTGCATTATTTCTTTTTATATATTGTTTAAAAAAGACATCCTCTCCCTCTCCCAACCTCTTTTGTAGAAAATCCAAGCCGAGATCTCAGCCCATGAGCTAACTCTTGAGGAGTTGAGAAGGAATATGCATCCCCAGCCCCCGGCCTCCCCCGAGGGCAGGACTGCTCGAGGAGGAAGTCAGATGGATGTGCTGCAGGTAAAGAGGGCAAGGAGCATCCTTTTACTTTTCAGTATCTCGTGTGTAGAAAGAGAAGGAGAAAGAGGTCATTGGGTGACCTCGGGTGTGTTTGGTCTTCTTTTCTTCTTTTTAAGAGACCCTTCCACTTATTTTTGACATCTGGATGCATAAGGACTCATGTAAAGCAGTCATACCCCATTACCTTCAAACCCCATATGGTAAAATACATGCACAGTCTACCAAAGGGCTACATGGTTAAGCCTAAGCATACTACTGTGTAATATGGTGAATGCAGAACTTGGAGATTTTACTTAGAATACTATGTTATCTATTCACTTTGAAAATATGCATTAAAATTTTAAATGCAAATTCATTATTTGGAATACAACAAAATCTTCTAAGTTATAACAAGCGTTGGTTCCAAGTTTTCAGACCTTTTCATGAAATTACAAAAAGAACCTAAAGAAGTCTGTAATGTTGAGTGGAAGTATGTAATCGAAACATTGCATGTATTTCTAGTGTGATGTCTTCAGCCATTGTTGACTAAAATAAAAGGCAGACGTCAATCTTTCAAAGTACTGGATCAGAAGGTAGTTTTCGTCTCCTTTGTCTATATGTGAAATCCATATTCATCCCATTTTACCGAAAAATTGTGTTTTGCAAATATGTAAAAGCATGTTAGTTAATACTAATGAAACACAGGTAGAGTTCTAGCATACGCAAAGCAACGATCGGCCACATCATCTTCTCTAAGGACGAGATGCATTTTCCTCTTCTTCATCTTCCTCATCATCACCTTGAAGTAATGAGTCCTTCTGTCTGATGCAAACCATGGGGCAAGATGAATGGTGCATGGCATCTCGGGCAGCAGAAATAAAATTGTTGCATGGGTGGAAAAATACTGTTTGATTTTTATGGTTGAGCTGAGAAATGACAGAGCAAGCTGGATTTAGAAGTTAGCATTATATTGACTTTTTTTTTAATGCGGAGCCCCTGTCAGCTTTGCTGTGGCTGATGGACTGGGCAGGCTGAATTCACAGGGGAGACAGCATCAGACATCCAGTTCCTCACTGGTCCGAGTGACATTGACTTTCGGTCTGAACTTGTGATGAAGGACATTTTGAGTTCTAGGTTCCGGATCTATATTTTTCAAATGGGTATGAAAATTAATGAAGTCTTAATTCCAGTGAGGCCAGCCAGCTCGGTCCAAATTTGTTATCAAAATGTATGATCACTGGGATGGAGACACAGCGTGTCAAGTGATTCATGGCACAGGGCTGTGCAGGTCACACAGGTGATCAGGCAACTTCAGTGATGTCCTTTAGGATTTCTTTTTTTTCCTTTCCTTGGTCATGTTATTGAATGTTTTGTTGGTGCTTTACAGATTTTTGGCAGTGTCTGTTGTATTAATATCATTTGATGAAGGAGATTATCATTCTTAGATGAACTGCTTATTACTTTCATTTCTCACACAGAGGAAACTTCGAGAGGTATCCACAAAGTTCCAGCTTTTCCAGAAGCCTGCTAACTTTGAGCAGCGCATGCTGGACTGTAAGCGCGTGCTGGATGGTGTGAAAGCAGAGCTCCACGTTCTGGACGTGAAGGACGTAGAGCCTGATGTCATCCAGACCCACCTGGACAAGTGTATGGTGAGGCTCCTGGGGTTAACATGTGGGTTTTCCAGCAGCAATGATGACTCTGTCCAGCACTTCCACACTTGGTTTTGGTTCAGCAATCATTAGCCTAGACCCACCTGGACAAGTGTATGGTGAGGCTCCTGGGGTTAACATGTGGGTTTTCCAGCAGCAATGATGACTCTGTCCAGCACTTCCACACTTGGTTTTGGTTCAGCAATCATTAGCCTAGAGCAGTGTTTTTCAATCTTTTTTATCTTATGGTACACATGAATCTATAGTTACACATCAGCAGCACACTTAAATTATGTTGATTAAAAAAAAGTAAAAAGAATATGCTTACTGTGCTTTGAACTTCCTTTGAAAATAATTTAATTAATGATCTTTAAAAGTTTTCACGCCACACTGGTTGAAAATCACTGACCTAGAGTGTGCGGAACAGAGGGATTGATGATGGAAAGCGTGTTAAAAAAGAAGAAATGTGGTCTTTGTCCCCAAGGAGATTAGAAGGGATAAGAGAGAGAGCTTGGAGAAAGTAAAATTAATTATTTCAGTGTAATGAGATAAAGAGACTGGAAAGTATATAACATAATGAAAACTCAAAGGAAATATATCTTAATCCTGTAAGTTCCAGAAGGCTTCAGCAGAATGTGACTGATCAGCTAAGTTTTCAAGGAAAAATTTGAGGTAGCTAGAAGAACCATACTTAGAACGGATGTCAGGAGTATTCTTTCATTAAGAAAATCATTTTCAAAGAAAGTAAAATTTTAACTTTTAATTGATGAGGCTTCAGCCTAAGAAGTAAAAGAAAAAAATTATACTTAGAGTGGATGTCAGGAATATTAAAGCATAAAAAAATTCATTTTCTGGGAAAAGACAAGCTTAAATAGAAGTTTAAACTTAAGATGGGAAAAAAGAAATGACATCGGAGGCCTTTATGACTTTTTTAGTCTTGAACTTTATAATTCTATTGAGGAGAAATTTAAAAACCATGTGGCCAAGACAGCACAGTTCTGCTGGAGAATCATGAAGAAACTTAACATGTGACTGGTTAGGACAAGAGAAGTCTGGGAAGAGTTTTTTGTGCTTTTCAAAACTGCTATCTCCACGAGTCTGTTTCTTACATGAGAAGAAGACTGTACAGATAGGATAATTTTTAATATGTATGTGCGTAGATGTAAGCATTTATTTCCTTATTATGATATAGTGGCAATCAAAGCAAATGCTGAACTTGACCTCATGGAGCGTAGTTCAGTGGTGACAGTGTCCTGTGAGAAGTTTTTAGGTCAAGATTACAGCATACGGAGAAGCTGCCCAGAGTAAACCTTTTTGGTTTCCAGGTAACCAGGAATAGGAAAGCTCTGAAATTGGCACATAGAATTCTGATTTCTTACATACATCTTAACCTATGTATTTTGTGTGTATTTTCATTGTATCAGTCGTGCATGTCCACTGTGATACACTTGGTACTTCAGAGAGATAAAAGCAAAAATATAAATGTTAATAGTTTCAAATCTTAACAACCAGAAGTCTCCTGTGTTGACTTTGTCTAGTCATAGCCTTGAGGATTTTTAAAAAATGCAATTTTAAATATGAGAGACATTCAATTTTTGGTTCTAATATTCTCCCATTTTGTGTAGGAAAGATGTTTATGTTATCAAGTACTTTTACAAATATTTAAAAAATGTCTTTTTATAACGACAGGCGTAAACTCTATAGTTTATTTTCTTGCCTGTAGGAAAAGTTACTACAACTTTGACTTCACTTGACTTGACCTTTGAGCCACCTCTGAGAACGACAATGCCCTTTGATCTCCACAGTTAGGTTTTAGCTGTCAATCAGCTAAGGCGTGTTCTGAAATAATCCCAGTTGTCAGGTTTTCCTTACAGTGTGTAATTTGTCTCGCTGTGGTTGTTGTTTTAAAAGAAACTGTACAAAACTCTGAGTGAAGTCAAACTTGAAGTCGAAACCGTGATCAAGACAGGGAGGCACATCGTCCAGAAGCAGCAGACGGACAACCCCAAGGAGATGGATGAGCAGCTGACGTCCCTGAAGGTGCTCTACAATGACCTGGGCGCCCAGGTGAGGCCGGCCCCACACTCCTCTCCTTCTCCCCATCCTCTCTCCCGGATTTTAACATTTCACTTCTCAGAAAATGCAGGTTTGAATTGTATGGCATTCATACATGTTTCTGATTTATTGCAATCATTTCTATTGTATTTCTTTGAAAGTATATGCTAATATTATGATGATTAATAGTTTTACAGAAATTTATTTTTGATATTTAGCATAGTTTACTATTTATACTTTTGATGACTATGGATGTTCCAGAAATTATTTCAAGGATACTCTTAACAGTAGTCTCTATAATAAACTCAGGTTACTGACCCTTGGTCTTCTGAATCTAACAGTAAATGTGAAGACAGCTGGGCTGCAATAAAGAGTAGGTGACAAGAAGTTCCCATTAAGCTACTAGGAATTAAAATCTCCCCAGAAATCTCTCTAATTTAGGCATTTTAGTAATTCATGCAGGTGTTGGTGGGCCATTTACAGTGGGTGACCAACTGGGTCCAGCAGGCTCAATGTCTTCTCTCATTGAGAATCTTTGCCCCAAACCCAGGAGAACAAGAAACTGTGTAGAAGTGAAACATTCTTAGCAATATTGAATAACTGCTTTAGACAGTGTTCTGGATCCTTCTTCAGATATTTAATAGGAACTACTTTCAGGTAAATTAAGGTAGAAATTTCCCCATGAGCCCAGAGAAAAATAGCTGACGGTTATCAATTTAAAATCAGTAAGAATGACCAGTCTTACTCTATCTAGGTGATTTTGACCTCACTTCTGCAAGGGGAGGTTGTTGATTCAATGCATTTTGATGGATAGCCCATCTGGAGCACGTATCTTCGAGCTTCTCTTTAGCACAGCTGGAGTTATTTGTTCAGTATTACTAGGCAATGCTAGGTGTTTTATGGTTGGAGTGCTATGGCTTCTTTTAGCACCGATATCTTATTGTAAATGATTTTAGCATTAAAGAATTTCTTAAAATCTCACTCAACTGAGACTGTGTCAGGAGTTATACAGGCAGTAGAGATACAGTTGTGAGGAAAAGCATACATTATCTATTTGTCTAATGGAACATGGAGTAAAGAAAGTGGAAAATGTTAAATCAAGGAATCACATGAAGTACTGTCAGATCATTGGTCTGAAGTGTTATGAAGGAACATATGTGGTACTTTGAGAGTACGAGTAAAGGGAGATTTGGCTCTGCCTTGGGTTAAGAAAGCTTCCTAGGGAAGTGATGTGTAAGCTGATATCTGAAGGATGGGAGAAGTAACTGGGGTGAAACCAGGGGAGGAACTTCTGTAGCTGATGGAGCAGCACGTGTAAAGGTCCTGTGGCAAGGGGCAGCATGTTATATTTGTGTGGTTGGAGCAGAGAGAGCCAGTGTGGGGAAAATGTTGTTGGAGAGATGATGCCAGACCCTGCTAATGCCATAGAATTTGTGTTAAAGATTTAAATTTCTGTCCCAAAAGCAAGCATCACTTTTTGCACAGTTTTTAATAGGGAAATAACATGCTCACATGTGTTTATTAAAAGATCCCACACTACCATTTAGAGGATAAATTGGAGAGAGGTAGGATTGGATGTGGGGAGGCCGGTTAGGAATTTACTGTTGTCCTCTTAGTGACAGATGATGGTGCCTTGAACTGGGGGAGCAGTGAGATGGAGTCAGTGGCTTGGTTTCAAGATATGTGGGAAGTGAAATCAATAGGTGGTTTAGGTACAGGGGCACAGGTGGAGGGAGAGAGAGAGAGAGAGGGACCAAAGATGACTCCTGGGTTTCCGCTTCATTATGTGGATGACCCCGTCATTGGGATGGAGTGCTGAAAGGAAAGGTGCGGGAAGGACGTGCAGAGCTCATTATTGGATATGTAGAAAATTGAAGTGCCTTTGAGAATGTTAACTGGTGATACCAGGTCCTCACATGGTTATTCAGGCCTGGAGAATGTATCTGGGCTGCAAAGATAGATTTTATGAGTCATCAGCGTGGAGTCAGTAATTAACATTTGAAGGGATGGTAAATTGCAGAGGGACAGGATATGGTGAAAAAGAAGAAGGTCTGCCACCAAGTTTTAGGAATGATGCCGGTTAGTAAGAAATTTGAGGAAGATGATCTTGCAAAGGAATCTGAAATTACCAGCAAGAAACGGTGGGCACACCAGGGAAGCCAGAGGAAGATGGCATTTGGAGAATGAGTAGTCAGCTGCTTCGCATATTTTATGAAAGTTAAATATGACGTTCACTTAAAACTGTCCATTTGGTCCATTGCCGTTGGAGTTATTATGGCACTTAGCAATGGCAATTTCTGTGGGATGCCATGGCATGAGGTCTGGTGGGAAAGAGAGAGGGAGGAAAGTCTAGGGGAGGGGAGGCCCAAGAAGAGAACTTTTTGAATGTGAGAGAATAGCTGGTGTGAACAATCTTGTAGAGAGAGAAATGGTTGAATATCTAAGAGGGAGGAGGGATCAATGATTTTATAAAAGATCCACAACTTGATAAGTCCTAATTCAGTACACGGTACATCTTAAAATATGTTCATCTGATTGAGAAAAGTGCAAATTGTTTTCAGTTTAGCGGTAAATTATTTTCATCCTGTTTATGTCCAAGTCTTTGATGGCGTGAAGTTTTATGATAATCATGTAGCTGCCCGGGCATGTCAAAGTCAGATAAGTATCATTTGAATATATATATATATATATATATGTATATCATTCCCTTTAGTATAATCCAAGTATTTGTATCCTAAAGTCTACACTAAGGTGCTGGTAGCATCATGAATTTTAATTATACTCTGTCAGAAATAATTACACCTTTAAGAAGGACCTTAATAACAATCAATCTTATTCTTCTTTTTTTTTTTTTTTGGCTGGGGCTGGATTTGAACCGCTACCTCTGGCATATGGGGCCAGCGCCCTACTCTTTTGAGCCACAAGCGCCACCCAACAATCAATCTTCTAAGTAGGAAAGAGTGAGATTGGACATAGGGGGAGGAGAAAAAAAGAAATGTTATCCCGTGTGACTTATTAACGAAATTCAGTCCTTATATTTTATATTATTGAAGAGAATTTTATCTTATCTATGACTTATCATTTAGGTGTTCTTGTCTCTATATACCTACATATAAAAAAATAAGACTCTCTCTATGAATTGTGTTGTGATGTCCTAAGCGCTGTTTCTGCTTTACATTGTGAGTGATTGCTCTTGGTTTGAGAACATCACCAGGTAATTGTGAAGGGTCAGACTGGGCTCAATCTGATGGCTGCCCCACCCTGAATTTGGCCTTGACCTCTGTAAGCTTCATTTTCCTTATTTGTAAAATAGGAAGAAGAGCACCGGTCATAGCCAATTTAGTGATAATTGCTTAATGTGTGTAAGATTCCATAACAGCATGTGGAAACTTAGTAAGAGCTTGGTTAACGTTGGCTCTGTTCATTTTGCCTTGTGTCAACAGCGATAAGAACAAGGTAATAGTAAAATTTCAGCTGTATAGTCACAAACTGTATTTTAAGTTACTTGGTTAATTTTCGAATATATAATTGTGAAAATAGTGCTATTTCCCTCTTCCATTTCCTGCAATACAGCGTGTATGTGTTTTTCGAACAGAGTCCTTCTTTGAGAGGATTCTAAGATGTCTTCTGTTCAAAATGATAATAGATATTATTTATTGATTTCTTAACGTTGTTCCAAGAACTGGGATGAGACCTAAGTACAACTGCTCCTCTCAGCCACTACTTAGTATGATCTTTTGAGCATTATCCCAGTGTCACTTAGGAATCACGTTGTAGAGCTGAGATTAAAACCCAAAGCTGACATTTATGAATCAGTTTGGACTTTTACTTAATATTCTGATTGCTTCCTATCCCAGTCTCAACCTCTGTCTCCCTGTCTCTCTCCTTTTCAGGTGACAGAAGGAAAACAAGATCTGGAAAGGGCATCACAGTTGGCCCGGAAAATGAAGAAAGAGGCTGCCTCCCTCTCGGGATGGCTTTCTGCCATGGAAGCTGAGCTGGTGCAGAAGTCCACTTCGGAAGGGCTGCTTGGTGACTTGGATTCAGAAATCGGCTGGGCTAAAGTAAGTCACAGTTCAGAGGAATCACCAATGTTATGCCAGTGTGACCTGCGGTGTTTGTTCAGAGCAATCTGGGTGGATACTGTTCCCTCATTTAAAACTAAATACAGCCTGTTCTTTTTTTAATCTTTCTTCATTATTTTATCCTAGTCTCCGTCCTAAGAAAAAGATTTCTAAAGCAACTATTTTAATAATATGTTTTTATCTTGACTTCAAAAGCATTAAACTTATATGGATCCTTAAGGCCTTCCTTATGCTGATTTGGTACTTGAAAACACGGCAAACAATCTTTCTTTTTTAGGAGTAACTGATCTTTCTATTGCAAACTAACAGATCTAAAGAACATAGCAACAGAAAAGAAAAGTCAATACAAGAGTTTCCCTTTTATATTTTGAGACAGGGTTTCACTTTGTGATCAAGGCTACAATGCAACGGCATCACAGCTCACTGAGACGCCACACTCAGGGGCTTAAGTAATCCTCCTGCCTCAGCCTCCCAAGTATCTGGGACTGCAGGTGTACATCAGAACACCTGGCTAATTTTTCTGTTTTATTTTGTAGAGATAGGGTCTCACTCTTGCTCAGGCTGGTGTTGAACTCCTGGCCTCAAGAAGTCCTCCTGCCCTGGCCTCCCGGAGTGTGAGGATCACAGGGGTGAGCCACTGTGCCCAGCCATAGAATTTTCTTTAGCCCTGTCCTTACGTTAAAATCACAGAGGTTACATAGTTATCTGCCAATTCTCTCTTATGAGGTAGAAAAAGAATCAGATGGAACAGAATACTTCTTTTACCAAGGCAATTCTGTTCACCTAAATTTATTTCCTAAGAAAGAAGCAAATATGCTAGAGAGAAGTGTTGAAAATAAACGATCAATTCTGGCACGGATACAGTATTTATATAAAGCCCAAAGTATCAGTTTTGACACCCGCTGCAGATGGTGGCTGTGGGCCCCTAAGGGAAGATGCTTAGAGGTCATGGGGTGACACAACTCCTGCCCACTTTGCATTCTCTGTGGAGATGACAACTGAGAGAAAGCCAAGATACTAGGCCCCGGAAAGAATGTTCTCAGTTCAGAAAACAGCTCGTGATCATCATGCCATTGAGCTGTGTGAGTGAAAAGAAGATGTACAAAAAGATGTCTGGGATGTCATTGTGAGACCAAAGCTTAGACGTGGTAGTTCTTGTATGAGTTATTTAAATTGAAATGGTTTTTGTAATGTTTATGCAATAGATTATAAGTTAAGTCTCCTAATTCCAGAATGTAATCCTTGCAAGTATATGTAGTCCATATCAACTGATTTCCTCTGCTAATCTAGGAGCTAAATTTATTATAAATTTCTTAGAATTGTTAGTTCTGGGATTTTTCTGCATCGCGAGCTTGTGTTCACTGAAGAACCTTGTACGTTGTTGGTGTGTTGTATAACAATGGCGCCACTCTTTATTTTTTAAACTTATGTTTCTCAAGGAAATAGGATCTTCCTTGTATGATACACTTTGAAAACTGTTATTGTTCCACCAGTAAGACTGTATAAGCTAATTGAATGAAATCTGCATATAGTAATTCAAAGAACGATGGGACCAAAAATCTTCTATAATCAGAATAGCCTGTTTTCATTTTTTTTCCGGGTTCGTATGGATGTTCACGGGCATAAGCATAATTTAAAAAATAATCATGTTGTATCTGATGTTTCATGACCTTCTTTGAAACGCTTTAACATTTTCCTTTACCTATAACTACTTTTGCCTTGTGTATTAAGAGACTCAGAATATTTCATTCTTACTTTGTTTTTTATTATCTCTTTCCTCAATTCATGTCCATTTACATTATCAACAATTATCACCGTTGTGTTTAGTACTATGATGACTGTATTTGTAACTAAATCATAGTGTACATTCATAGCCATAGTGTACACTCATAGCCATAGTGTACATTCTTAGTCCTAAAATTATCTGGTCAAGTGATGTGTCCATTTTAAAGTCTTACCTATTATGAAACTGTCCTTCATGAGTACAGAAATGCTGTACTCACCACCTGCTGGTGAATTCCTACTTGCTTATTGCAACCACACCTTTGAGAACAATAGGCAAACATCATATTTTGGTTATTTAATTAGAATAGTTTCTGTAAGTTAATAAGCCATCTGTAGCTTTTTTGTTTTTTATTTTATTTTTTATTAAATCATAGTTATGTACATTAATGCAATCATGGGGTAACAGTGTGCTGGTTTTATATACAATTTAAAATATTTTCACCAAACTGGTTAACATAGCCTTCGTGGCATTTTCTTAGTTATTGTGTTAAGACATTTGTATTCTATCATATCATCTGCGAAAAGTGAAAGTTTAATCTCTTCTGACCCTATATGGATGCCCTTAATCGCCTTTTCTTCTCTAATTGCGATGGCTAAAACTTCCATTATGATGTTAAAAAGCAG